CTCGACGCAGGCGACACCTCGACGTTGTTTAGCACGTTGTTGGGCAGACGACGAAGCGCTGTTTCAATGTTATCGCACGTTGTGACGTCATTGGTCCCTAGAGCAGCGCCAAATGTAATCTTCTCGGTCGTGTAAGTATTGCCATACGGATCGTGATATGTCAAGTATCCTGAGCCTCCTGCCTGGTTAATGACAATGGCTTGAACCATATCCTTTTGATTAGGAGTCAGCGGATCGTCACCTTTGGGGCAGGTGCGGGATGAGCAGTCGTGTCCTTCATATCCGCCATCACACACGCAGCCCATGATCTTCTCCTGGTCCCAAAGCGTGTATTTCCGGTTCGCTACACCTCCAATGCGCTTGTGGTACGCATCACCCGCCAGTTCTTCGATATATTCACACGTTCCGTGTCCACTGCAGTCGTTGGGGCACTGCATACGTCGACATCCGCTGCCGATAAATCCGGAGTCGCATGTGCATTCCCCAGTCGCACGATCACACGTGCCGCGGTTGCCACATTCCGCGTAGTAGTGTGCGTCGTCGTCACGCTGAGCTGTATCCTGCCACGCGCGAGTGAACGGGCATTGACGACCCGCGCAATCACCACCGATCATGTTCTGCATACATTGGCAGACGTCGTTGAGACCACATTTACCGTGGCCGGAACACTTGTTAGGGCAGGCTCCTAGCACTAAACTAGGCGTTGCTAAGAGCACAGTTAGTGCTAAAACGAACCCCCACTTGGTCATGACCTGATGATCTCTGGGCTCCTAAAGTCTGTTCTAATGGCTTGTGCGGCACGAAAGGTGAATCCAAATGTGAAGCTCGCTATAAACGCCGCCATGTCCGTTAGATTGGAGACCCCTTGTGCGATCTTGCAAAACGTCACCAAAGTGACCATTGGCAAACGATCTTTTGCAGAGGGGCGCCACACTAAAATAACGAGTACTGTTGTTGGGACTATTGACAAAGCATAGGAACTTCTCCCCTATTTCCTTGTTCATCTGCGCGGCATCCACCTTCTTTAGCAACGCAGCGGCTTC